GTGCGTGCGTGTGTGATCCAGGAAGATACTGGTTTGTAGATCTGGGTTTCCCGTGTGTGTGTGTGTGGCATCCAGGAAGATCCTGTGTGTGTGTGTGTGTGTGTGTGTGTGTGGCATTCAGGAAGATCCTGGTTTGTAGATCTGGGTTTCCCTTGCCAGTGTGGAGGTAAGCTTCACCATCTAAAACTAATTGTTGAAAATACTAAAAGACTCCATTTCATGTTTTTTTTTTCTAATTAACACAAATCACCACAAGTTTCTTAAAAGAAGTGAAAATAATTTCCCTCTTTTATTTTGTATTTTATTTGTGCGTGTGCATGTATGTGTGTGCGTGCGTGTGTGTATGTGTGTGTGGGTCGGTCATGGGGCCTGAACTCTGGGCCTGGGCGCGCTGTCCCTCAGCTCTTCAGCTCAAGGCACCACTTCTGCTTATGTGGTGCTGAAGAATCAAACCCAGGGCCTCATGTCTGCAAGGCAAGCACTCTACCACTGAGCTGTCTTCCCAGCTCCAATTTCCCTCTTTTTAAAGTTTGACCATTTGAATGACAAAAGTAGATTTCCCACTTATCCCTCTTTTTTTTTGTCCTGTGGCTTGAACTCAGAGCTTGGGCACTGATCGTGAGCTTCTTTTTGCTCAAGGCTCTACCACATGAACCAGTGTTCCATTTCCAGCTTTTTTGGTACTTTATTGGAGATAAGATTCTCATGGTCTTTCCTTCTTGGGCTTTGAATGACTATCCTCAGATATGAGTCTCTTGAGTATTAGGATTACAGGCATGAGCCATTTGTACCCCACTTTACCTCCATTTTTATCTTTAGTTTTTTTTTTTTTGGTCCAAGACTGGGACTTAAACTCAGTATCTGATGCTTTTGCTCATTGGCTAGCACTCTGTCAAGTAAACCATGCCTCAAACCCCACCATTTTGATGTCTAAATTTCCATGTTTTATTTTTCTGGTGAAACCAATCAAGTATATAGACAGATGTCTGCATATAAATATACATACATGGGAACACCTGTTCAGTAAACCCTTGGTATTCTTGGATATAAGTTTCCAAGGAAATCACTATTGAGGAAAGGCTTCAAAAGCTGAGTATATATAGAATTAGTACTCTAAAATTACTCTAATTTGTGTATATCTTATGTACGGTGGGTCTGAGGGTACTTGAAACCACATCAAATAGCTTATATTGCCATAAAAATAACTTGAAAATGGCTCATGAGAAGCCAGTTTATTTCATGTTCTTTATCTTTTTTTTGGGTGGGGGGGCATCATGGGGCTAGAGCTCAGAGCTTAGGCTCTGTCCACTTTGAGCCACAGCTCCTCTTCTGGTTTTCTGGTGGTTAATTGGAGATAAAGAGTCTCAGGGACTTTTCCTGCCAGGGCTGGCTTTGAACTGCAATTCTCACATATCATTCTCTCTCTCTCTCTCTCTTTTTTTTGGGAGGGGGTGGTCCAGTCGTGGGGCCTGAACTCTGGGCCTGGGCGCTGTCCCTCAGCTCTTCAGCTCAAGGCTAGTGCTCTACCACTTGAGCCACAGTGCCACTTCCGGCTTTTTTCTTTTTGCTTATGTGGTGCTGAGGAATCGAACCCAGGGCCTCATACATGCAAGGCAAGCGCTCTACCACTGAGCCACCTTCCCAGCCCACATCTCAGTCTCTTGAGTAGCTAGGATTACAGGTATGAGCCACCAGTGCCCAGCATGTTTGTTTTTTTTATCTTGAATGCTTTAGATATTTGATTTATTTTGCTAAAGATATGCTGCCTTTCAACAAGTCTAAAATTTTCACTATCACAATAAAAATAATAAGCCTGATGTGCCCTTTTTGGCATGGGGGAATATGATAACTTAAGCTTGCTTTTTGGGTACTATTTGCTTTTTGAAAAGCATATATTCACCAAGTCAAGGGCAGAGAAACACTCAGAAGACACAATGATTACAACTGGTGATTATGCAGGAGTGGCTGAGAGCTGAGCTGGCAAAGTGCACACTTTTGCTTTTGAATTTAAAAAAAATTACTCATTTCTTTTTCTATGCTTAGTGAAAATCTCAATCGACAAGTAAGGTGAGTTTACTGTATCTTAATGTCAATCTCCAGTGGTTTTTTTTTTCTTCTTTTTAAAAAACCCTAATTGTAGAATAGACATTGTTACAGTCAACATACACAGATCTATCTTATTTCTGTATCTTAACATATTAAATTCCCTATTCATGGATAGTATGTTGTTGCAATTTTCTGCTCTTCTACATAAAGCTTGCTGAATACAGAATAATAATTTATGTGGAATAGTTTATACATAGTTGGTATTAGCATGTAAACATGAGTACAGATTGTGTGTGTGTATATGAGAGCGCACATGTGTGTGCGTGCATGCACACACATGTGTGCTAGTACTGGGGCTTATGCTCTCTCTTAACATTTTTGCTCAAGTCTGGGCTTCTGTCACTTGAGCCACAGCTTCATATCTGTTTTTCTTGGTTAATTGGAGATAGTCTCTTGAGATTTGTCTACCTGGGCTGTCCGTGGACCAGGATCCTCAGATCTTAGACTCCTGAGTAGCCAGGATAAATGGCATGAGCTATCGGCACCACATTTTTAAGTGGGATATACAGATCTATTTGTTCTCTTTTCTTTTCCTTACACATTTTTGGTAGTATTTGCAACAGAAATACTTTTTTGTTGTTGTTGATCATGGGGCTTGAACTCTGGGCTTGCGCACTGTCCTTGCACTCTTCAGCTCAAGGTGAGCACTCTACCACTTGAGCCACAGCACTACTTCTGGTTTTCTGGTGGTTTATTGGAGATAAGAGTCTCATAGACTTTCCTGCCCGGGCTGGCTTTGAACCATGATTCTCAGATCTCAGCCTCCTGAGTAGCTTGGATTATAGACGTGAGCCACCAGCACCTGGCTAGAAATACTTTTATAGATATGTTTATGTTCTCAAGTTTTCACTGGCTTGTAACTATATAATTCATTGTAAATAGATTTTATGGTATATTCAGTTTTAGCTATGTTTTCTGTGTCAAGAGCTTGATATTAATACTGTATATAATTACACCGTACGTAATAAAGCCTAGTTTTCATCTGGTGTCTTATAAATTGTGACATTTTAGCCTGCTGTAGTTTTTATGCTTATGTGGCAGCATTAGCTTTATTTAAGTCAAAGGTGAGATAATTTATATATTTTAAAGGTGAAGGAGCTTCTTTATTTTCCTACAATATATTATAATTTAGAATTTAGGGATATAGATTAGTACTCAATGTGTGTGGTTGTTTTTTTGCCAGTCCTGGGGCTTGAACTCATGGCCTGGGCACTGTCCCTAAGCTTCTTTTGCTCAAGGCTAGCATTCTACCACTTGAGCCACATCGCCACTTCCATCTTTTTCTGTTTATGTTGTACTGAGGAATCAAACCCAGTGCTTCATGCATGCTAGGCAAGCACTCTACCATTAAGCCACATTCTTAGCCTCAATGTTTTATCTAGAAAAAAGTGCCATTAAATTTCTTTTTTATTTTTTGGTGCCAGTACTGGCACCAAAACTCAAGGCCTAAATGCTCTCCCTTAGTTATTTTGTTCAAGGCTGGTGTTCTACCACATGAGCCAGATCTTTGCTTTTGGGGTTTTGCTGTTAATTGGAGATAAGTCATTTGGATTTATCTGCCTAGATTGGCTTTGAACCAGGATCTTTAGATTTCAACCTTCTCAGTAGTTAGGATTACAAGGAGCCATTATCACTTTTCGTCATAATATGCAGAAATTTTCAGTCATTTATTCTGAAATCCATTTTATAGTTACAGCAAAAGTTACTTTCTACCAAATTTTTTTTGGGGGGAGGGCCCAGTCCTAGGGCCTGACGCTGTCCCTCAGCTCTTCAGCTCAAGGCTAGCGCTCTACCACTTGAGCCACAGTGCCACTTCTGGCTTTTTTCTTTTTTCTTATGTGGTGCTGAGGAATCGAACCCAGGGCCTCATGCATGCAAGGCAAGCGCTCTACCACCTGAGCTACCTTCCCAGCCCCTCTACCAAATATTTTTGATAATATTTCCAAAATGCTTTCATTAATTTTTTTGGGGGGGGCGGATGGAGGTACTGTGATTGGAATCAGGGCTTTGTTCTTGTTATCAAGACAAGTGTCATCACTTGAGCCATACCCCCAGTCTTTTTTGCTTTTATTCTTCGAATAGAGTCTTACATTTATGTTCAGGTGGGCATGGACAGTGATTTTCCTATTTATGCTTCTTGTGTAGCTAAAATGGCAGACATGTATTACCAGACCTAGTTTCTTTTGATTGAACTAAGGTTTCACTAACTTTTTACCTCAGCTCACCTCAAACCATGATCCTCTGATCTCAGCCTCTTGTAACTATTATAATAGGTAATGTGATTTTTTTTGGGGGGGGGGAGAGGGTTAGTCATGGGACTTGAATTCAATGCCTTGGTGCTGTCCCTGAACTTTTTGTTCAAGGCTAGCACTCTACCACTTGAGCCACAGGATTTCTGGAGGGCAATTGGAGATAAGAGTCTCACAGAGTTTCCTGTGGCTTTGAACCTGTATCTTCAGATTTCAGTCTCCTGAGTAGCTAGGTTTACAAGTGTGAGCACCCAGCAATAATGTAATTCTTGATTGCTTAATATGACGTTTTTCCCCAGTAGTAAATAATACTATTTCTTCTTACACAGGTCTTCAAAGTCTACATTTTAGCTCTCAGTGGTGAACTTCCTTCTCCCTTAAATTATTATAAACTTTTGCTGCTGTTTAATAAACGTGAAGATGTCTCGCAGTCCTGATGCAAAGGAAGACCCTGTGGAATGCCCTCTTTGCATGGAGCCCTTGGAGATAGATGATATCAATTTTTTTCCTTGTACCTGTGGCTACCAGATTTGCCGATTTTGTTGGCATCGGATTCGCACTGATGAAAATGGGCTTTGTCCTGCATGTAGAAAGGTAAGTTATTTAACTTTTTAGTTTTCTTTTACTATACAATGTTAGCTGTGTAGTTCTTTCCCTCATAAGTATAAGTAATTACTTTGAAAAGAATCTAAAAACTTATGTATACATATATCTTTAAGATACAAAGTAGAAAGAATATTGCACTAGGAATCAGTGTCAAGTCTTAGCTTTGTTAACTTTGTAAATTATATAACCTCTCAGGTGCTCATTTTTTTAAGTTTTGTAGTAGAGAAGTAATGAATAGATTTGAATAGGATGAGATGAAATTGGAAAGCAAGTTTTTTTTTTTGTTTGTTTTTTCTTTTTGTGTTGGTTGTTTTGTGTTGTACTAGGCTTGATCTTAGGGCCCAAGGATGCTCTCCATCAACTTTTTTGCTCAAGGCTGGTACTCTTGACCATGACTGGAGCCTGTAATCCTTACTACTTGGGAGACTGAATTTTGGGATCACAGTTTGAGGCCAGTAAAGTCTGGAATGGAGTTAGGGAGTTACTATCTCCAAAATAGCAAAATGCCAAACTAGAGGCTTGTCTCAAGTGGTCAAGCATCAGTTGTGAGCCAGACAGCTGATCAAGAACATGAAGCTCCAAATGTAAGCCCTGGTATCAGTGTCCCCACATGCATGCACGTATGCTCGCACACATACTACACATTCCCACGAGTCCACCTCAATATCTGGGCATGGTACTGCAGCTGTGGTGAAGCACAGTGGCTCAAAGCCATTTGCCTCTCATCTTCAGAATCACTGGGAAGGACAACTAGGAGGAATAGCCTACATTAGCAGACCCTTATATTGAAAACAACTAATTCTGTAAAAGGGGCATATGCATGGCTTAAGTGATAGTATTTCTCTATTAAGTGCAGTGCCTTGAGTTTAATTTTCAGTTCTGCCAAAAATAAAAAATCTAACAGGTATTTAAGGTATATTACACAAATAAAGATTTGCTCATTTAAGTGTCAGTATATATTTATGAGTAGTTACACACACACATATAGTACATACTATATGCAAAATATATCTGATGTAACTGTGACATAATGCATACATAGTATTGAGTATACTTAACATATTTTAGGAAATGGAAAGTGAATTCAGAGTATTAGTCATATCTTACAATTTTTCAGTGATTTCAGAGAAAATAATTTACTGAAAATAATGACTTTTTTGATTACCCAATATTCTAAGGACTATGAATTCAGTTGATTTCATGAAATTTATATCTTTTTTGTGCTGGTATTGAGGTTTAAACTCAGGGCCTTGTGCTCTTGCTCTGCTCTTTTGGGCTGGTGCTCTACTATTTGGAGGCATGCCTCCACTTCTGGCATTTTGCTAGTTAGTTGGAAATAAGAATCTCATGGATTTTTTTTTTCATATTTTAGCATCCTGAGTAGGTAGGATTATAGACATGAGTACCATTATCTGCTTACTTGCTCATGCATTCTCTTTCTCTCCCTCTCCCTCTCTTCCTTTCTCTCTGTTTTCCTCTTCCTTTCCTTTTCTTTCACCCTGGGTTCTCTTCTTTATTTCTTATTTTTCCTTTGAAATGTTATAAAGGTAAGGTTTCCTTTTCTTGGAGGCAGGGACTTGCCATATTACCCAGGTTGAGCTTCAATTCAGGGTTTTCCTGCCTTATTCTTCTGAGTTGCTGGGATTACTAGAGTGTGTCACCACACCTGACTGGCTGTTACCATCTTGCTATGGACCAAATTTTAAATTGTCTCTTGGAAAAAAGTCAGTTACTTGAGAAAGTTACAGAGATAACCATTTCAGTCTTAAGAGATTACTTAAATTTCCTCAACTCCTTAGAAAGAAGAAAAATGGAATATTTTAGAGAGAAAAACAGTAAGTTTAAGAATCAATCAAAAGATGTCCTAGAAAGACAAGAAAATATGAGGAATCTGAAAGACAGAAGGCTATTTCTTTTTAAAAAATTTAATTTAATTTATTATAAAGGTAATGTACAAAGAAGTTACAGTTACATAAGTAAGGTAATGAGTACATTTCCCCCTCATTTCCTCCCCCCCTCCCCCCAAGTGGCTCAGTTTCAAGAAGGAAACAGTAGCACAAACCCTGTTTACCATTAGCAATATTTACTAATAGTACTAATCAATTATTAATGGATGCATGTACATGCAGAATATAATTTTAATCATTTTATAAGCATATTATCTCTTAACTCTTACAGAATTCCTCTGGCTCAACTATTGTAATTCCTATTCGACAGATGAAAAGAATGAGGGAGAAGGTCTCATGATTTTAGAGGGAATAGGCTAAAACTCAAAACAGGCACCTGATTCCTGTTTCAGCCATTAGTAACTCTGACATTAGCAGTAAGAATGAAAACGGTACATAATTCTGAGAAGAATTGTGAAGTCAAACAACAATGTAATTCCTAGTATTTATTATGGGTTACCAGATGTTAGGCAGAGTAATAATTGTACCTTTACATCAACCTGTAAGATCATTTTCATTTTACAAAGAATACTGAAGCAGAGAGTCTAATTAAGGCCATTTGATGAGTAAATGTCAAAACTAAATTTAAACTCATAGGCCAGATTAGATAGTTACCTATTTTTCCATCTTTCACCCTCTTAGACTGAGACTGCAAATAAAAAATAAAAAAAAAGGATATAGCCAGGCACCCGGTGGCTCACACCTGTAATCCTAGCTACTCAGGAGTCTGAGATCTGAGGATCATGGTTCAAAGCCAGCCAATAAACCACTAGAAAACTAGAAGTGGTGCTGTGGCTTAAGTGGGAGAGTGCTCGCCTTGAGCTGAAGAGCTGAGGGACAGCGCTCAGGCCCAGATTTTAAGCCCCATGACTGACAAAAAAAAAAAAGATATGATTTCAATATTCTTCTGGCATATAACAGGTTTCATTATATGTTAAACCCAGTTCAGATGAGAAAACATATATTCTTGAACTTTTATGTAACACCATAGATGCTTGAATCCTCCTGTAAGTGTTGGAATTATTTAAATTGTATTAAATAAATATTTTAACTAATTGAAAAAAATCAGAAAAAGGGAAAATGTAACAACTATCTTATAGCAGAATTGGATAATTGTTCTTTATGCAGTTTTTTCTATTTATTTAATGATCACATCTCTTTATGTTTGAAGCCATATCCAGAAGACCCAGCAGTTTATAAACCACTCTCCCAGGAAGAATTGCAAAGGATAAAGAATGAGAAAAAACAGAAACAAAATGAGAGAAAACAAAAAATCTCAGAAAATCGCAAACATTTGGCTAGTGTACGTGTTGTGCAAAAAAACCTCGTCTTTGTTGTAGGACTATCTCAGCGCCTAGCAGACCCAGAGGTAGGTCTTTTCTGTTTTCTTTGTCAACTTGACATTTTTGTTTGTGTGTCTTACTTGAAAGAAACAGTTGACCCTTCTGAACTGTAGCCTTTCTCTGAAGATACTTAATTTTGACAGAAAGTAAGAGATGACTTTTTATTAATTACTAAGACACCAATGACCAGTTGTGTGACCTTAGGTACTTCTTAATCTTTCTTGGCCTCTGTTTCTTCAGTTGTAAATAAAACTAAGGAATTGAGCTAGATTTCTAAAGTCTGCATTGATGCTGATAGTCTACAAATGGATAATGATTTTATTTTGTCCTTAAGGATTATATGTGGAATGAGTACTCAGTTTCTTTTCTCTTTCCAGTAGCTGTGTAAGGACCATCAATTGATACTTGTTTATTTGAACCCACTAGAGGTCTTAATGTAGCATGTAGTAAATACTTGGATGTTGGAGGTAAATTAGTTAGCAAGCCAGACACAGATTCTACTCTTCCTAGCAAAGAAGTCAGAATTCAAGTACTTACACATGTGTGGAGCATTTATACAAAGAGAAGTACATTGTAAGGTACTTAGCTAGTATAGAGATTCACAAAAAGCCTCCCTGTGGAAAAGATGATAAGGTAGGCTTGAAGCCTGAATAGGCAGCAAGTAAGGTCAGTAGTGTTTCAACTCTGGGTAGTAGCTTGAGAGAGTATTTTATTTGAGGAAGTAAAAGATTTTAAAGAGACAACAGCTCCATTTACAAATGAGAAATTGAGGCACAAAGAAGTTGAGTGACCTGCCCATGGTCTTAGAACACTTATTCTAATGTTAGTGTGTTCATTCCTACTTACATTTATCCATCAAACCCCCAGCTATTACCAAGGTTTTGTATTTTTCCATAGTGTGTGAAAATGCTAAGACACTTTAGTCATTAAACACGCCATTAGGCATACTTTTTGTTTTGGTTGGTCGTGGGGCTTGAACTCTGAGCTTGGGCACTGTCCCTGCACTCTTCAGCTCAAGGCGAGTATTCTACCACTTGAGCCACAGTGCCACTTCCAGTTTTCTGGTGGTTAATTGGAGATAAGGGTGTCACAGACTTTCCTGCCCGAGCTGGCTTTGAACTGTGATATTCAAATCTTAGCCTCCTCTGTAGTTAGAGTGACAGGCATGCGCCACTCATACCTGGCTTAGGCATACTTTTTTAAGGTATCACTTTATATTCTATATTAACACTTAATAATTATATATAAAATATGATAGGGTGGTAATGTATATAGTATGCTCTGTCTCCTCCCTAGACCCTTTATTTGTTGAGGTAGAATCTGTAGCATTCGTGTTAATATGGAAAATTTAAATTCTTTGAATTATCCTTGCCTGGGCAGCCTGCTTCACATCAATTACTGGCCATTTATTAATACTTAGTGGCTCACCAGTGTTTTACACTCATGTAATCTTTTTTGTTTAATGCTAACACATTTCCATTTCAATAAACATTTACTGAGTACCTGGAGTATGCTAGGCACCATGTATAACATTTGAGAATACACTGATAGTACTACCTTATTTACACAAGTAACAGTACAGTATGAGAATTGCTATGTGCTTTGGAAGCACAGGATGCTACTAGACCTTGAAGGGGAGGTATACACTCCTCTGTAATCTTTGGAGCAAAATGCTTTGGGCACAGGAACTATGCAAATGCTTCTCAAGAGCAAGACCTCCATCTGCAATCAGATTTGTTTGGCTGGAAGATTAGAGTGCAGTGGTGAGAGATAAGGTTGGTAAGGTAAGTGGTAATGATCACAAAGGGCTAAGGAACTTGTACTTTATCGTTAGGGTGCTCAGCTATTCAGAAAGATATGGCTAGATTTGTGCTTCAGAAATACTGTTCTGGCTCTAGTGTGGATATAATTATAACAAGCTCATGTTGTTATGAAGATGTTATACCCAAATGTTTGTCAGAAAGTATTCCCATAAACCAGTGGTCTTCAACATTGTCAGATTCCTTGTACACATTAAAAAAAAAGTAGTATATTTAATAATCCTTTACTTTCATAAAATGAAATTATATCTGTATATTCTATCTTTATATATAAATTGAAAAATACATATCAAGGAGAAGTAAAAGCTTCCTCAAATGATTTATATGAATATTTAAGTTCTTGAAATTTTCTTTTTACACTACCAAATATATATATATATAGAGAGAGAGAGAGTGCTTTATTTTGTAGAATCACTGAATGTGAAAGTTACAAGTGCAGATATATATATTTATGAGATGCTAATGATAAGATTGTTTTATGAACTCAGTATGTCTCAATACTGGGAAAATACTTTCTGTTTATAATATGGAATTTGTTTATAAGTTCACTTACTTATAAATAGGCTTCTTAGCTTCATGCTTATTGGTCATTCAAAAATTGTACACCATAACTGCAGTTCAGGGCCAGCTTGTACTTTAACCCTGTTCCTATCTACTGAATGCTATTACTATTTCAAAGGTACTTTGTCTCTCCTAGTGAAAGCATCTACGAATTTCCAAAATTTCCCCTTCAGTTCTTGCTTCATTGAGAACTGCTTCCCTAAATTGACATGTGATATGAGATGCTGACGCAGGATAACCTATGAGCAGCCTTTGAAATAGGCATTTTAGCTGTGAAACCTACTATTGAGATGGTATACAGCCTGTTAGAATATCAAATGTAGTTCACATTCCACTGGCCAGAAAAACCTTTTCAACTATTCTCTTCCCTACCACTGAGCCCTGAAACTTGGCTATAAGCAAGCTGAGGGTCATCATATTAGCTCTTCTATGCCTTAAAGGAATAAAATGTAAAAATATTGGAAACCAATGTAATCACTTCACCTTTCAATCCATTAGCATTGTCTATAGTAAGCATAACAAGCAATACTTTTTAGATTTATTTTTATTAAGTTAAAGACTGTTAATTAATTGACATATAAGCTACAGACTGTAGAGCGGGAGCTTGCTATGTGGAAAGAACAATAGATCTCCTTAGAACAGTAGGCATACAGGTAGGACCAAAACAGAATTTAATATTGAGGTATTTGCAAATCATGGAAAACATTTTTGTATCAAATTAATACTGAATAAATTAGCCAAGGTTATGTAAATATAAGGAAAGCTAAAAGAATGCATATATAAGCCGGGAGCCTGTGGCTCATGCCTGTAATCCTAGCTACTCAGGAGGTTGAGATCTGAGGATCACGGTTCAAAGCCAGCCAGGGCAGGAAAGTCCGTGAGACTCTTATCTCCAATAAACCAGTAGAAAACTGGAAGTGGCACTGTGGCTCAAGCGGTAGAGCACTCGCCTTGAGCTGAAGAGTGCAGGGACAGTGCCCAAACCCAGAGTTCAAGCCCCAGACAGACCCCCCCCCAAAAAAAAAGAATGCATATATAATCCCAAAATTAATTCAAGTGAGGTAAGTACAGGGACCAGTAACTACCAAGAAGTAACCAGGTAATATGAAAAAAAAGGTATAAAAAAGGTATAAAATACTCAAAAGTATTTTACTAGCATAAGTGGGGGTGAGGAAAACTATTTAGAAATACTAAAATTTATTGACATAGGAAACTATATGCACAGTGATAAATCATAAAGCATGGTTGTCAAATTTGAAATTTATAATGTCCTAAAATAGCATATAATACACATTTGAGTAAAAACTTTGTGTTTCTTCCTTCCCTCCCTCCTTTCTTACGTCCTTCCCTGCCTTCCTGTCTGCCTTCCTGCCTGCCTACCTGCCTGCCTACCTGCCTGCTTGCCTGCCTGCCTGCCTTGTCTGCCTTCCTGCCTTCCTGCCTTCCTGTCTTCCTTCCTTCCTTCCTTCCTTCCTGCCCGCCCACCTTCCTGCCTTCCTGCCTTCCTGCCTTCCTGCCTTCCTGCCTTCCTGCCTTCCTGCCTTCCTGCCTTCCTGCCTTCCTTCATCTCTGCCCTTGAGCTTAACTTTAGTCATTGTCTTGAGAATTACTTTTATAAAGATCATTTATTAGTGAAGTACAGTTAAGATTTTTTTATGTTTTGTGTTAGATAATACTGTGAAGTTAAGATCCCATAGGTTGTTGATGCAAATATTAAAACATAATAGATAATATTCACTATAGTCTCAGTTTCTACTCAATGAAGAGCTTGAATGAGCTGTTAGTCTCATTTTAGATTTCCTGACGTTAGCTAGGATAATTTCAACTAATAGTCACGTCCATTAGAAACTAAAAATTATTTTCTTCTCAATGACAAAGGATAGTGAATGTCCCCATTATAAGGATAAAGTTGATGAGAATGGGGACAGTTTATGCCTTATTTCTTCTTCTTTTATAGGTTTTAAAACGACCAGAATATTTTGGGAAGTTTGGTAAAATACATAAAGTTGTCATCAATAATAGCACATCATATGCAGGCTCACAGGTAACTAATTATAGGGATTTTTACCTTTCCTCCCTGTGGTCTGGGCTTGACCTAGGCCATTCAGAAGGAAAATCAGCTTTCTGTGATTAGAAAGCTTGAAGGTCAAGTATTTATGCAGTGTAGAGACCTCTATTGGTGGGCTGGGGGAATTTTTAGCATTCATTTGACCCTTCTAGAATTTTATAATGAATTGGTAGAATAAGAGGGAAATAGTAAAGCAAAATTTTAGTGCTGGGGTAAAGAGGTGGGGGACTTAAGCTTGTTATCAGGCAAACTTGTCATAGTGATTTAAAGTCACTAATATTTTTAGAGGTTGAAAAATTAATAGAACATCTTGGTTGTACTGGTATAGCAGAAAACTTCAAGATTACATTTATGTTCAAGAGAACATAATTTGGCACATTTTTAAATCTTACTTTTAAATATAAATTTAAAAGATTTTTTTGTAAAGTTAATGAGCCTGTTAAATGACTATTTAAGTAAATAAATGTCAAGCCAACGATGATATTTTATATGTTCACCATGTTATAGTTATAAATGTTATATTTCACTTAAAATCAGATAAAGTTCAAATATGATTATATTTAAATGAGCTAGTATTAAAAAAAGACTGCTGCTGTGGTATTAACAACAGTAGTAGTAGTAATAAAGGAAGTATTATTAGATTCCTTAGCTAGGCATATAGCAATATATATATGCATATATATGTATTTTTTTGATACTTACTTTGAAACTAATAACAATGGGATGGGATTTTTTCACTAGGGTCCAAGTGCCAGTGCTTACGTAACCTATATCCGGTCAGAAGATGCTCTCAGGGCCATACAGTGTGTCAACAATGTGGTGGTAGATGGCAGAACACTTAAGGTAATATGGTCCTCCTGAGCCTTCTTTTAAGAGGGAAGAAATAATCTGTAGAGGACAGCATAAAATTTATGTATTAACTTTAATACAGTTTGAAGATTGTGTTGTAGGCTGTCGTACTAACTTGTGATAGCTAATTTGTTTATTGCTCACTGTAGGGTGCTATATTATTTACTAAATAGGAATAAACACAGTATTAGAGGACGATCCTTTAAAAATCCTGTGTTTTTGTGCTTATTTTGCAAAAATGGACCCATTCTTCATGAACTAGATGAAAGTTCTCTTTTTTACAGTTAAATATCTGAACTTAAAATACATTTGAATGAAGGGTCCCACCAAGCAATGCTTTATGTAAATGGAAAGGATGGAATAATTAGGAAAAGAATTTGCCTTCTTTTGTGCTTAACTACTTACCATATAGACAAGTTTTTCTGTCTCTTCTCCTGAAGTATAGGGAAAAGATCTTGTATTCAGTTTCTGGAAACCATAGACTAAAATATCGTTAGCCCTTCTACATAAGCATTTGTCTATATGTCATACCAGTTTTCTATTTTTTCAGTCTTACTTGCCCCCATTTTAGATGAAGTAAAAACACTAAACATGGCAGTTCGCATTATATTGTCAGTTCATATTCTGAGTTCTCTTTCCTCCTCCTTCCTTATAGGCATCTTTAGGTACAACAAAATACTGCAGTTACTTCTTAAAGAATATGCAGTGTCCAAAACCTGACTGCATGTATCTACATGAATTGGGGGATGAAGCAGCCAGCTTCACAAAAGAAGAAATGCAGGTAGTAAAGTCATGTGAATTATGAACTTTGCACAAAAGGGAGTACTTCTTCTTATGCTAAAAATGCAAAAGCAAAACCTAGGGATTTGAACTTTTAAAAACTGGCATTACTTTAAAGTAGCACTTTCCAAAGTTTCATAAAATGTCTGTTCTTCAGGATGTTACAGTAAAAATGTGTCTGCAAAATAAAAATGCTAGAGTAATGGAGACAGATAGACTATTTGTTGTAGGACTTCTCAGAGGCTTTAATATGCTAATACTTTTCTAAAGTGGGAAGTACTACTAGTACAACCAGAACTTAGTTGACCAAAGAAAACACTTTGGAAAATTCTACTTTAAGGGGAATGTCAGCAAAATAAAGGCCAACTAGGATACTGTCATTAATTGGTTTTTGTTTTGTTGGTTTTTTCTCCCTAATCTCTACTCTTTACAGGATATTCTAGATCATATTATTCTGTCCAGTGTTGCTGATAACCTAACATTTTGTAAAATGATTTCTCCCTTGAAAGTGTCCACTGAGTCCGTATCTGAATTAAAGACTTAATATCTTATGTTCTTTTTCACATTTCCTCTTCTCCTGTCTCCTTTCAATTTGTAGTATAAACATGCTTTTACAAGTAAAAATGTTGACCATTCGGCATATTAAATGAGGATTATACCAAAGCACAATGCTGCAGTTCCCTATTGTAGATGAGGACTTCAGATTGTTGCTGTGGACTTTTGCAGGAATACTTCTCATTTAGAAGGTGGGGGGCATTCATTGCTACCTTTCATTCTCCAGGTTAAACTAGAGAAAGTCTGGTAGGAGCTTCTTTAAACACAGATTATTAAATAATGTGAAGTATCACCTTTTTTGACAGTATTAATTCAGAGTAAATCCCATTGTAATAAGTAGATTGGAGTTTCTTGGCAGTATTGTATTGTCTTTGTGATTTTAAAACCAAATATCTATCAGTTATTTAACAAGGATAGATGAGGTACTGTATATCTTATTTTTTTCAATAAGTGATTTTAAATGTTTTGATTTGCTTTTTGTATGAAATATTCTTGAATGAAATTTAGATAATAGAAGCATTTCAAACTGAAGTTTCAGGTATATTTTACTCATATATACTATGACAATGAAAATTTCTGTCAAAGAATTTCCAAGTCCTAATTGATATCAGTTAGAGTATTATTGAGCAGTAAAAGAAAAATATATGGACAGACAGTCTATTCAAACTTACTTGCAATGGGATTTCAGCTGTCCTTTGTGAACTGCCCCAGTAGAGTCATTCAGATATCAGATTGAGCTCTTTGTTGCTATGAAAGCCATAACATTTCATCAGCTATTGACTGCAGAAAGAATTGATGTGCTTTTCATGTCTTAAAGGTGTAAAACTTGCATCTTATTGTATTTTTTTCCTAAAGTCAGTTCATAGTTTTACTCTTTTTTGCCTGAATTTAAAAATTATTTTGAAATGAGTTTTCCTTGTTAAAGCACTTCGCAATTTTGAAAGATAAATTTGAACAAATTAGATAGCAAAAATCAGAAAATCTTTACTTGTTTTACTGCATAAACTCAAAACTGATTACTATAGAGCTTATGTATAGATCCAGATGAACAAGTAAGTGATACCCCAGAACAGGGAACGATGCATTGTGCAGTGTACAAGATACAATTGTACTCAATTGAAACTGCTCTCACTTATTACTATTATTATTGTTCCCCTTTTGTTTTGATTTATTCTTTTTTGTTTTTTCCAAAGTGTGATTAAATCATAATTTTAAAATAATGAATATCCATGAAGGTAAGTAAAAAATCCTTCGAATCATGATACACACACAAATGATACAAAGTTATTCCAAGTAATTTCATTATTATTTATTTTTGTGTATGATTAGCTTTCACAGTCAATCTTAGCTTAATTTCTTCCATAACAGTTGTGATATTGCCTTATGATGTACACAACTATAGCTATCCAACTATGTTAAACACAGGGTTTTCTTGGTGTGTCTGAGCTGTGTTGTTCCTGTTACAACTAGTCCACTGTCTGTCAACACTTCACTCTGCCTTTGTAGCAAGAAAGCAACTGCAGACAGTATTTAAGTGAGTGAGCATAACTGTGTTCCAGTAAAACTTTATTAACAAAAACAAGGGACCAGATATAAATAGTTGAATCGATCTACAGTTTATAAGTATTAGTGTTTTGATTTTTTAAATTTGTGGTAAGGGGAAAGAAAGGAATAAAAACAAATAAATGGACCCATTTCCCTTAGTACTGGGGTTTGAGCTTGTGCCTCCCACTAGCTTGGTTTGCTTTCCATCACAGCTGATGCTCTTCTACTTGGATCACACTTCTAGCCCAGCTTTTTGCTGGTTAATTGGAAATGGAGTCTTTCAAACTTTTCGGCCGGGGCTGACTTCAAACCATGATCCTTCAAGTCTTAGCCTTCTGAGTAGCTAGGATTATAGGCTTGAGGCACTGGTGTTTTGACTTAGTGCCAAGGTAGTAAAGAATATAGTAAAACTGTTCTCTCTGTATATTTAAAATATATATATATTATCTAAGACCCAGACTCAAACTCAGTATCTGACACTTTTACTCATTGGCTGGAGCACTACTACCTGGGCCAGGCCTCCAACCCTATAGTTAGCAGTTTTAACCTCTAAATAAAACAGGAGACCCATTGATAAATTTTGGATGATCTTCAGAAAACTTTGTAATGATTTGTTGGAAAACATAATTGTATGAAAGACTTATTAGCAGGTTTAAAATTGACATTCTAATTTGTTGAGCTAGGGAAATTGCTTGCTCCATAATGAGCTTTTTGTAGAAGTTGATGAGGCCAAATGTTGGTGGTTCATGTTTGTAATCCTGGCTACTCAGGAGCTGAGATCTGAGGATCAAGGTTCAAAGCCAGTCTGGGCAGAAAAGTCCGTAAGTCTCTGATCTCCAATTAAGCAACAAAAAGCTGGAAGAGGAGCTATGGTTCAAGTGATAGAATACCATCCTTACATGAAAAAGCCCCAGTACTGGAACAAAAACAAAAGTTGATAAAATGCCTTAGTTTGTGTAATATTGATTATGTAATTTTATTGGAGTAACTCTTTTTTTTTGGCCATACTGGAATTTAAACTCAGGGTCTTATGCTTGCTAGACAGGTGCTCTGCCATTTGTGCCACACCCCTAGCCCCAGAATTAATTTTTATTGATCTTTAAGTTTTGTAACATCATTCTTCATTGCTTTCTCTGACTTTGTGGAAAAAAATGCTTTACTTAGGATATTTTAAGAAATAATTCAGAAGGTAACTCAGTGTTTTTTGGTAGATGTTTTGTGAATCCCACTGCAGTTTTAATGTCTTCTTTCATTAGGCGGGTAAACACCAAGAATATGAACAGAAGCTGCTTCAAGAATTATATAAGTTAAATCCTAATTTTCTTCAGTTATCTACGGGTTCAGTTGATAAGAATAAGAATAAAGTGACACCACTGCAGAGGTATGATACGTAAGTACTGATATTAATATCAGACATCTTTTTGCCAAGTCTATTCTTTTTGTTCTCTGTCTCTGCTATTTTTTTTTTTTTTTTTTGGCCAGTCCTGGGGCCTGAACTCTGGGCCTGCGCACTGTCCCTGAGCTTCTTTTGCTCAAGACTAGCACTCTACCATTTGAGTCACACTGCCACTTCAGGCTTTTTCTGAATAGTTTATGGACTTTCCTGCCCAGGCTGGCTTGGAAACTTGATCCTCAGATCTCAGCCTTCTGAGTAGCTAGGATAACAGGCGTGAGCCACCGGCTCCTGGCTCTTTTAGGCACATTCCTTCTTACCAAATCACAATTTCTGGGTTTAAATATTTGCTGCTTACTGCTCCCTGGTAACACCAGACAATCTGTTTAACCCTGTCTAGTGGTACTGGGACTTGAACTCAAGGTTTCACACTTGCTAAAAGGTACTTTCTACCACTTGAGTTAGCATACCTTATGCTCAAGACAAGCTTCTTGATGTCTTCCCTCTTGCAGTGATTTGCCCAAGGAATATGCTCACTATTTAAAAGAACTCAAGAGACTGGGCATAATGACATAGGTTTGTAATCACAGGACTTTGATGAGTTTGAGGCCAGTCAGGGATACATAGAAAGGTGCAGGCCAGCCTGGATTATGGTGAGACCCTGTCACCCAAAACAAAACAAAATAAAATAAAAAGAGAAATCAAAAGATAGTGGGTACCCAGCTGAGCTTTCTCTCTGATGTAATGAGGAGGACAGTATTTAAGAGTGATAAGTATATAAATATTCAAGGGTATCTGGTCCTAGGAATCACTACAATTTTGTATTTGGTGAGAAAAAAGAATATGCTGTATTCAGAATCTTTTTTTTTTTTTGTCGGTTGTGGGGCTTGAACTCTGGGCTTGGGCACTATCCCTCAGCTCTTCAGCTCAAGGCAAACGCTCTACTGCTTGAGCTACAGCACCACTTCCAGTTTTCTAGTGGTTTTATTGGAGATAAGAATTTCATAGACTTTCCTTGCCCGGGCTGGCTTTGAACCATGATCCTCAGATTTCAGCCTCCTGAGTAGCCAGGATTACAGGCATGAGCCACCTGCACCCGGCTCAGAATCTTATTTTTAAAAAGTTGTCTTCATCCTCCACTCTCAGTATAGTTTTGAGTGGATGATATTGGATGTCAGCTAAATAAGTTCATGATTTTTAATACTTTGAAATTCTGATATGATGATCTTCATATCTTGGGGATTATATTTAGTTATGACCTGTCAGAACATCAAATAGGTGACTATACATTTTTGAAATTTTATTCTATCTTATTGTTTCTTAGGTTTAATGTTTGGTGTCTTCATATTTAAAAAAAAGTTATTGTCAAGGTGATGTACATAGGGGTTACAGTTATATAAGTAAGGTAGTAAGTACATTTCTTACCGAACTTGTTACCCTCTCCTTCATTTTTGTCCCACTTTCCCTCCCCTGCAACCGCTTCTCCCAAAATTGTACAGATCATTTCCAACATATTGTCTTGTATCACTGTTGCATTGGTTCCCCCTTTATTCTGTGTCTCACCATTTTTATGTTCCCCTTCCTTTCCTTTCCCTAATTCATATATATATATATATATATATATATACACACACACACACACACATATATACATACATACATACATATATATGTGTGTGTATATATATATAATGCCCAGGGTACCAAAATAAAACACAGTGACAATAGGGTATAAACCATAGGGGGAAAAAGACACAAAAGAAAAAAGAAATCACGTAGTACATTAAAATTAAATTTAAGTGATACATTAATTCTTATCTTTTAAATACTGAGTTTCATGTTTATCTAGTACTAAAGTAATGTGAGTGCCATTTTGCAAAATAATTGCTTGGATAATATTGTCATAATCTACTTCAAAAACATTTTATGTTTTAAATAGTTGAGCTCCTATTTATTCCCTTTATAGTGAAGTTTATTTAAATGTTAGATGTATTTAACATGTATTTATACACTTACTCTTTTATACGTAGGTATATAGGTATATATGTATATGTGTGAATTTATGTATATATACATACATAACTATGTAAAGAATCTACAAAGCAAAACTAGAATTACTCTATATAGTAAGTTATATGAGATTTATTTCTATCAAGGCTAGAAATAAAAGCTAAATCCAAACAGAAATCTTTTGGATTGACAAACACTATTTCCATTCATTATTTTTATTTACCCTTTTCTAGCCTTATGTTTTCATGATCAACCATATGCTCCTATTTCCCATATTATTGGGTGCCACTTCTTAGTGTTGAGAAAAAACAGGTTATGGTAATAAACATTTATTTCAGATACATTCAACTCTTACATACTGTCATTTTAGTTAAAGTCATATTCTGATTTGTAACTCCTAGAGATTTGAGAACAGAACTTTTAACATTTAGATTATCTCCTTAAGATAATCTTGTTATTTTCTGAATGTACAGGTGTTATTTTTTATCAAAGATAATGTGAAAAATTTCTGAAAGCATATAGAAAAAAATTAATTTATGTGATCTTAGTACATAGTGATTTTCACTAAATATGGTTTGTATCTTTTCCCTTCAATGTATATTTCCTGTTTTTTCCCCTGTGAATGCATATGTACCATTATATATAAAATTACTTTGATTTGTTACATTTGAAAATGAATATGCATTATTATGAATGTTACCTATGTCATGAAATCAGAATTTTTAGGGCTGTATGATAGTCATCAAATATTTTATATTTATATATAAAATAATATATATTAGATAAAATCTATATTAAGCTACTTTCCTGTGTGTCTGTATCATATAATTTCACTTTGATGATGTTATTTATAACAATGCTGAACATGATTTTGTATGAATATTTTGGTTATAGTTTTTTAAAAATAATTTTATTGTTATTAAAGTATTGTATAGATATGTTACTGTTTCATAAGTGAGGTGATCAGTGCATTTCTGTTTTTGCACAATGTCATACTTTCCTTTCCTCAGTTTCCCCTTCCATCTCTGCTCACAAATTACATAGGTCATTTTCCATATTGTGTATACTGAATAGTGTGATGACATTTGTTCACTCTACCTCCCTCCCTTTCTGCACTGTCCCCCATTTGCCCTCTAGAAGAAAAGAAAAAAAAACAAAGCAAAAACACCACCGTCAACAACAACAAAAAAACTGTGTTTCCATTTCCTAGAGTTTATTTCAATAAGTGGTATCTTAAATGCTTAGAGAAGTTACACCTTTGATTTTGATTGTTCCTGGCAGTATAACTGCTTGATCAAAGAATTGAGAGTACCTGTCTCCTTGAATTAAGTATTTCATGCACCAATATTTACATACTGCCCTGGACATTAGTAAGACTGACACAGTTTACATTGAAAAATACTGTTTAGTGCTCTTTAATGGGAGTTAGAAAGGTGAACCAAGATTTAGACAATAAACTTTTGCCTTTATAATAATCTTCTTTCCACCTTTCATTTATGTTACTTCTTTTCAACTTGTCACTCTTATTCCAATATTATAAGAATAGTACATTTATTGCAGATTATTGTGTTCTAGTCTGTTCTTTATGTTACCACAAATATATCTTCTTTAACACTACATGTTTCCATTGGTCTCTGTACTCCGACCTCTGTCTGCTTTTCTATCTTTATCTTACATTGGTATTGAATTTTGAACTTCCCTCAGAAGTATTCCCCAGTTGACCCATTTTGTTAGATTTGATTACAGCATTTTTTTGATAGCTTATTCAAGAGACAGTCTGTTAAACTTAAGAATGTTAGATGTTAACCTTAAGAATGTTAGAAGGTAACACCTGGGATTCAGACTGGCTAAATGTATTTGTTACATTTGTTTAGAGCAATTAAGTGGGGTATCAGTAAATTAATGATTTGTAAAGTAACTTGGCATATGGTTTCAGGGAATACAATAATTTTGAGAAATTAGAAATCTTAATTTTTTTCCTATAGAGTAATAATGCTTATCTTTTGTTCTTTTGTTCATATAGAGTTATTATAAATGTCATTAGGTCAGTGTTGTAAGGTATAGAGATTTTAATTTGTATCATTTGTTGTGTGTGTGTGTACATATATAACTGTTCTTCCTATAGGGTTTGAAATAATATATAGAAAAATATTAAAAGAAATTTATGGTTCTTAAGAACTTTCTATAAAGGACATTCCAATAACTCTTTAGGTCCTGCCAAAAAGTTAGAAAAAATGTGTTGCTTACTGGTTCTAAATTTTGAACATCAATATATTTATCATATATAGAGAACTAAGTGATGGATTTGATTGTTGACTTAATTGGAATGGTATTTGTTTTAAGAGGTTCTTTTTTCCCCATTAAGCTATTATTCCAGCCATTGATTTAGAGAATCTGATTAGAATGTAAGTAATTCAAGGAATAGTGTTTCAAGGTAGGGCTCTTACATAAGGTCTTTGTGTCCATGATATCTAACTTAATGTCATATGTCACAGTACCTCTACTTTTTTTTTTTCTGAATTTGTTTTTATTGTAATGAAATGACTATATTCTTGATTTCAAACAATGTTTTCTTTTTACAGTCCCATTGACAAACCTTCAGATTCTCTCAGTATAGGGAATGGTGATAATTCCCAGCAGGTAAGATTCGGATAAAATGTCATTTCATTTATCTGTCAAACCTGAAAACAAAGTGTTGTATATAAAGGAAAAATTTCTAAATAGTGAAGAAATGCTTTATATACTGAAACAATTAAAAACACTTTTGTCCAGGTGCTGGTGGATCATGCTTGTTATCCTAGCTACTTGGGGGACTGAGATCTGTTTAAAATCAGCCCACACAGAAAAGTTCCCTGAGATTCTTTTCTCCAGAAAGCTGGAAGTGGAGCATTGGACCAAATGGTAGAGCACTATCCCTGAGCAAAAGAAGCTTAGGGAAAATGCTCAGACCCTTAGCTCAAGCCCTAGGACCAGCATACATATACACACACATGCACAGACATAAAACACTTTTGATGGACAGCTCTGTTAAATGTTCTAGCCTTGTTTTCCTACACAGAGTGTATCGTCCATATTAACTCTTTCTTGATAACTCAAAATTATCTTTATGACTATATCTTATTTGTACCATATGTAATACATCATTTTCCTTACAGACTACTTTTGTTGTTGTTGTTCTTGGCTCTGCTCAAATAGTCTTAGACAAGCATGCCTTTTGAGTTCATGCTTTCAAGAATTGCTTTCCCTCTCTCTACAGCATCTTTACAATAAAATAAAATTTAAAAAGAATTGCTTTCCCTTTGTCTCTTGCTGTCAAGTGCACCCTGTGCTTTTCCTTTATGGCTTCCATTTTCCTCCAAGTGACTATTGGTTTTCAGATGACTTATTGGATGGAATGGTCAAAGTTTCATTCAGGGTGAAATTAATATAAAAGATAGCTATTAGAACATACTTTTTTAATATATATTTTTATTGTGAAAATACTGTACAGAGGGGTTACAATTACATGGGTAAGATAATGAGCACATTTCTTATCAAGCATTGTAGCCTCCTGCTTTGTGTCCCCTTCCCATCCCTTCGTTCCCCACACCAAAGTTGTAAAGTTCGTTTTTCGACATAACGCCTTTAGAACATACTTTTTGTCAGCTTGTTTTATTGCTTGGAGAACTTTTCTTAATTTTCTGTACATTTTGCTACATTGGTAACTCCCCCATAAACAAATGGCCAATTTTCCCACAGTGCAGGTAAAAACCTCCAGAGCTTTAAAACTCTTTACTGGCAAGTTTCAAAAGAATGAAAATCTGTATGGTACCCTGATATATTTTGAATTGATAAAATATATTCTTAAGAGTAGTTGTAAAAGTGTAGTCATACTCAATGTACATTATGTAAAAAATGAACTATAAACTTCAGGGTAGAGAAAGGAGTGTAGAAATGGGGTAGAACGAAGGAAGGGGTGGAATTGACCAAGAAGCATTGTACTCAAAATCCAACTTATGGAATCGCAACCCCTCTGTACAACTACTATTAATAAAGAAAAACATGAGTAGTTGTAAAGGATATACTTTCAACATATAATCAATATTGGTGTTTTAAAGTAAAAGTGTTATATTCCTCTTTAAGAATTTACAAAATTTAAATTTTAACACCTACTTCATGTTTTGATCATATCATGCTTGTTACCCCATCATCTGTTTTTTAAAAAAAATTCAGATTTTTTAGATATTGAAATTTCACGGCAGTCTTTTTTCTTCATTAACTTCCTGTTTCTATTGCCATTGTACTTTTATCTTGATGTAATATGGTCTTGCTTGAAAAGCATATACTTTTCTCAAATAAAAATTGACATAAATTTTGTGTTGAAATGGTATTTTTGCTATGACAAGAATTTAAATGCTTTATTTTCTTTTAATTTTATTATTATTGTTATTTTCTTTGGTCAGTCATGGGGCTTGAATTCAGGGCTTGGGTGCTGTCCCTGAACCATTTTTGCTCAAGGCTATAGTGCTCTACCACTTTGAGTCACATTGCCACTTCTGGTTTTCTGGTTTGTTAATTGGAGATAAGAGTGTCACAGACTTTCCTGCCCAGGCTGACTTTGAACTGACTTTGAACTCAGCCTCCTAAGTAGCTAAGATTACAGGTGTGAGCCACCAAACACATGACTGCTAAATGCTATATTTTGATATTGAACTTTTCATTTTCCTAAGTTTTAAGTGCTGAGATCTTTTGTTTGTATAAATAAGTATATGGAAAGACAAAGAATAGTGTATTGTATCACTATCACCCAAATCCTTGTATTCCTTCTGAATTAAATGCCTAAAACTAAAGATTTCTCATCATGGTAATTTTTTTTTGTGGGGGTTGGAATCATTCTCAGGTCTCATGCATGCTAGGCATGCTAGACAAGTACTCTACCATATTATCAATAATAAAATATTTTGTTAACAGTATAATTGTTATATAATAAAATGTATATATAGTGAAGTTACATGAAATTAAATTATATGAAACTATCAAACAAAAATCATTGCTTATTATTTTATTGTTATTAATAAAAATAAAACAATTTTAATAATTATGTTAATGATAATTTAAAATGTTTATTTTTTCTACAAAATAAATAATATATTAATAAAATATTAGAATAATAATACTACTTCATTATATTTAGGGATTGATCTCAGTTCCTTGTACTTGTTAAGAAGCACTTTACCACTTAAGGCATGCTACAGCCCTTATTTTTTGATAAGACATTTCTTTTGTTGAAAATTAAAATATTTGATACCATGTAATTTTCTAGTCATTACTGTCACTCTCATTATCAATTTGAATTTCTAGTGACTTGTTCTAATAACAATTTTCACTGTTTTGGTTGTTGCTGTTGTTGAGACAAAGTCTGACTATGTCACCCTGGCTGGCCTTGAGCTGGAAATCCTCTGGCCTCAGCTTCCTGAGTACTAGGTCACAGACATGTACCACCACACCTAGTCAAGTTTTCACTCTTTAGCAAATATTATATTGAAGTCCCAAAGAGAGAGAAATATTCTTTTGTTTGTAATGAAAGTAGTAAGATTGTTAAAAGAGAGGAGACTGGCTTAGTCTTTTTCAGGTGATAATCTTTTTTTTTCAAAGAAGAGTGCATGTGTAAGTTAATGATTTAGTTGATTTTCTCAAACTGCACACTTTCAGTAATCTTCAAGTTCTCTGATTTAAAACCATTACTTTATTGCATTTAGTTACAGACCTTTAAAATTGTGGCTTATTAACGTGTATAAACATTTTTCCTTTTTTTGTTTAGATACCTAACAGTGATACGCCTTCACCACCACCTGGCTTATCAAAATCCAATCCAGTCATCCCCATTAGTTCATCTAATCACAGTGCAAGGTCACCTTTTGAAGGAGCAGGAACAGAGTCACAGTCATTATTCTCAGACAATTTTCGCCATCCCAACCCTATACCAAGTGGGCTTCCTCCTTTCCCCAGCTCCCCACAAACATCCAGTGACTGGCCTACAGCACCAGAACCACAGAGCCTCTTCACATCAGGTATGTGACAACAGACCTAATATTAATCACTAAGCTTTTATGAATAAACTATTGGTTGACTGATGGGAAAGTCACTGGTAGATATATTTTTATCTTTTTTTTCCTCTACTTTGTGTTTATAAAAGTATACACTTTAAGCTGCATGTAGTTTAACAGTAGATAAATTGTTTGTGGCCTAGAAATGGATGTGTTGAAAGGCAGATTTCTCCAGAAGCCAAAAGTTACATACTTTTCCATGAAAATTACTACTGATTATATTGCTGAGGACTTACCTTTTAATCAGATTTTTGTTTGTGTAATCAAATTTAAGGTAGCTCCCAATAGACAAAGAGGAAGTTCTTCAGCAGTGAAATCTATAATTTGTCTTTTTTAAAAGCCATTTTTATTAAAAAAATTTGACATGGTTTATTATATTTGTATAAGAGCTGTACTTTTACCTTTTCAAAAATTATGTTTTAATTGATGTCCAAAGCGGAGGGACAACTAACCAAATGCCCAAGACTTCAGTTAGATGATATTTTGATGGGAGTGGTCTGAAGAAAGAACTTAGAGTGGTTTTCATCTTTTTTTTTTTTTTTTTAAGAAGCATGACTTTCCCTCTTTCCCATAGCAGGTTTCAGAGATGTCTACCAATCATTAAGAGGAAGGTAGAACCAAGCAAAATGGATTATGGAAGCCAGAAAGCAGAAAAAAAAAAAACACCATTTTTCTTTTTACACACATGCAAATGATGGCATAAGTTAACATAGAATAGAGCTCATAGAATAGAACTCATGAAGCATATACATACACACATAATTTATTATTTATGTTATTTATTTGTTTGTTTGTTGGACATGGGGCTTTGAACTTGGGGCCCGGGTGCTAACCCTGAGCCTTTTTGCTCAAGGCTAGCATGTAGTATTTGGAGCCACCACACCACTTTCAGTTTCCTGAGGGTTAGTTAATTGGATGAGTCTCTTAGACTTTCCTGCCCATCCAGGCTGGCTTTGAACTGTCCTCCGATCTCAGTCTCCTAAGTAGCTAGGATTAAAGGCATGGGCCACTAGCTTCTGGCCAGAAGCAGATACATCAAATTATATTTTTCTTAGTTTATAAGGCATATTTTCAAAGTTGTGCTTTTTCTTTGACAAATATAATTAAATAAAACTCTAAATTTTACACAAATTTTATAAAATCAGTCATATGGTTTTGATTATGAATGGTTGAGTATAATTTGGGTGTCAAATACTTTTTTCCTTTTCATTAGCAAAATCACTATTATTCAGTTTAATAATAATTTAAGAGGCCTTTTGTAATTAATGATCTTATTTTGTATTTACTTGCTTTTATTTGTAATTTGACCTGTTTAACTATCATTAATATAGAGGTTCATTAAGAATAAAAGTAGGGGCTGGGAAGATGGCTCAGTGGTAGAGCGCTTGCCTTGCATGCTTGAGGCCCTGGGTTCGATTCCTTAGCACCACATAAGCAAAATGAAAGAATAAAAGTAAATTTACATTTTTTATTCCTGTCTATATTTCTTCCCAATAGAAACAATCCCAGTATCATCCTCCACAGACTGGCAAGCAGCATTTGGCTTTGGTTCTTCTAAACAACCAGAGGATGACTTGGGTTTTGATCCCTTTGATGTTACTCGAAAAGCCTTAGCAGACCTGATTGAGAAGGAACTATCAGTCCAAGACCAACCTTCCCTTTCGCCTACATCTCTTCAGAACTCCTCTTCACACACTACAACCGCCAAAGGTCCAGGCTCTGGATTCCTGCATCCTGCAGCATCTACAAATGCCAACTCTCTCAATAGTACCTTTTCAGTCTTGCCACAGAGGTTTCCTCAATTTCAGCAGCACCGAGCCGTTTATAATTCGTTCAGTTTTCCAGGCCAGGCAGCCCGCTATCCTTGGATGGCCTTTCCACGCAATAGCATCATGCACTTGAACCACACAGCAAACCCCACCTCAAATAGTAATTTCTTGGACTTGAATCTCCCACCACAGCACAACACAGGTCTGGGAGGGATCCCTATAGCAGGTAGGTTCATTTAAAACCTTCAAGAATTTGTGAATTTATGCTTTTGGGTTGTTGGGTGGATAGGGGGGAGGTAACTGTTGAATAGTAACAGAGTACTTATAAGTCTTAGAAATTTCTACAAAAGAAAATCTTGATCATAAAATCTAAAAAATTTTATTTGGATAGATGCCTTGTAATATTGAGCTTTATAAGGATGGTGGAGTATTATACCTAATGTTTAAAGCACTTTTGCTTAATAAAATAGTTACTAAACATTCATATGGTATATAAATGTAGATAAAAGGAAACTGAGCTCTAAACTTGAAGTGCTATAAAGTCTCAACACCATGGTAGAAATTCTCACTTCACATTCTAAAAATGAAGTGGTAGAAAATGAATTAATTATTGATAATGAGAGCATGAGGGATAAAGCCACCTTGTAACTTATTCGAGCAATTTTGACTGATCCACACATACATACATCAAAACTCTGCTATATATTAATATGTGAGAACATATCATATGTTAGAAACATTTTCTGGGAAAATTCATTCCAAAAGAGATTCCCTTTTAGGCTGTCTTGTTTTTATTTCTGGGGGATAATATTAGGTTTATATAAGGGAACATAAACTTGATGCCAGAATACTTCTGATTTTGTACTGCTACCCATATAAGTTTCAGAACTTTTGGGATTTAATATCCTATGTAACATTTTTTATGTAGAGTGTGGTCTAAGTGAGCCATTCTTATCAATAGTGTTTTCATTTGACTCGAGCTTTAGAGATGATGTGAAAAAGTGCTTGTTCCCCTCTTGATTGTCTCAAGTAGGTCCTTATTATCTCAAGTAGAACAGAATAGTCCTTTACTCTGTTATATAGTTTATAACTTATATTTGTCCTGTGTCATGACCTTTAAAGTGTAGGGCATGACATGTTATCAAAATAGTGTACTTGTACCAGTAAAGTGATCATTCTCTTGTTTTTAGCAAGCTAGATAGATGAAGTTACAGAGATCTTCCATAATTCTTTGGCTGTGTTTGAGACCAACATTTCTTTTTTTGGACAGTAGATAGGTTTTAGTATATTGTGGTGGATAAAATATTAACAGTTGATTGATACAGTGAAATTTACATAAGTTTGAGAGTACTTGATGTAGTGATTTGCATAGTGATAATAGGGTTCATGGTATTTGTTCATTTAATTATGGCAGGTAGTTGTTAATCCAAAGTAATATTTTTTAGTCCTTTTTCAATAAGATACCCACTTATAAATTACCAAGTGTTCAATTTCTGTACACATTTTTCTTTTCTTCCATTCAAGATAGCAAATATAATGTAATTCTCCTTTATTTTGCTTTGTTTTAATCATTTAGAAAGATGACAGTTTAATTGCTAATAGTCTATTAACTGATTATAATATTAAATGTTAAGTTCCCCTAAGTATTTTAAACATTTTTAAGGAAGTATTAAGCCAGAAGGATTAATATTTCACTTCCTGTTTACCCAACAATGAACTAGGCTGTGTGGGGAATACAAAAGGTGTATAAAATATGAATATAATATAAGTTCAGCATGAACTTGGAAGAGATAAAATTAAAATCTTACATGAAAGTGGTTAAACATATATATATATATATATATATATATATATATATATATATATATATATGGTACTGGAATCCAGGAGACAGCCTGTAATTGTTGGGGAGGCTGCATTGAAAAAGTAAGAATTGATCCTGTAGTGTGTTCTCTTGACTTTGGAGTAGCATCAGGGAAAGAGAAAAAGGCCTTTTATCTTGTTGGAAACTTCAAGAATAAAAAGGCCATAGGGACAGAGAAAGCAGTACTACCTTCTGTAACAAGGTACTTTTAAAATTGTAAAGATATAAGTGTGAGAAGATGGGAGCTTTAACAGGGAGGCAGACTAGTGTGGACTTGATTTGGGAATTAACTTCTGAGCTGTCTTTATTTTGAACTTATATTTGACATATTACATGACCATCATTGATAACCTGTTTTTCACATTTCTTAGTCATTGTTTTGCCTCTAGGTATCAAAGAGCAGTTTTAAACTCAAATATTTCAAGCAATAGATACTTTGGAAATGCCACACTATTAATGAGAAATCACTGGTTTGTTAGTGCAGTTGTTTTAATATCTACATCTAGAATACATCTATTAAAGTATGGCATTAAATTGTCGGTCTACTTATGTGAATTTTCTTTTGCCATATACTCAAACATAGAGAATTTAAAACTTTTTTCAGAGTTCTTAAGAATTAAGTCACCAAATTGAGTTTCTGAGTCATTATTGATGGGGACTGAAGACTTATTTAAGACTTTCAATTTTGACTATCCATACTTGCTTAATATTATTATTATATTTGTGCCAGTCTTGGGGCTTGACCTCAAGACTGGGCAATGAGCTTTTTTGCTCAAGACTGGTGCTCTGCCAAATGAGCCACAGCTCCACTTCTGGCTTTTTGGTAGTTGGAGATTAGAGCATAATAGACTTTTCTCCAGACTGGCTTCAAACTGAGATTGTCAGATCTCAGCCTCCTTAGTAGCTAGGATTATAGGCTTGAGGTAACAACTAATTATTAGCTGTAATAAACAGCTAATTATTACTTTTTAAAAAAAGTTTTGAGGCCTAGAGACACTTTAGTGTTAACATACCAAAATATTTTAAATTGTTATCAATCACACAGGAATTCCATCATGGCTTACAAATACTTGACAGATACCTTAGCACATTGAATGTTTTAAGCACAATATTTTTAAAGCACAGCAAGATGATTTAGGATTTTCAGTAACTGTCTTTTAAATGATGGAGTAAAACACTAGAATGCTATATATATCTTTACAGTTTGAAGCACTTTCCCTATCCCCAGATGAACTTGAGTTGAACTATTAAAAGAGGCTCAACTTTACATCATTTAGTTATAGTACTTTATAGGGAATAGCTTTTCATTGAATGCTTCAGAAATGGAGACTACATTCTTTTTTGTTGGACTTGCTAAGATACTCTAATTCTATACTGGGAAAGATGTGTATTCTTTAAATATATAGAACAAAATAGGAGGGTCCCTGACCTTTAGGAGCAAATTGAGGTGCAGGTATTTTTATTTAGTCTTTGCTTTGTTTAATTATTTAACAATTATACATCTGAAACCTGTCATGGGAAGAACAGTCATGAGTTTGACAGAAATTTGGCTTTTCTCTAATTGAAAACATGTTTAAAATTAGATATTTCCTTTATTTGGTCAACACTTTTTAGTAGTGTTTAGAGCTACACATCTAGTTTGCTAAGTTTAGGAGAATTTTTGAAATAAGTATTCTTGGGAGACTTTGATTAGTGGGCAGTTACACCAAAACCACCTAATCTTTTAAATTATTGAAACCATGTGCCATTGTTCAAAAAGTGACTTACCAGGGCTGGGACATGGCTCAAATGGTTGAGTGCCTACACATTGAAGTTGGAGCCCCTGAGTTCAAACCATAGTACCACCAAAAGAAAAACAAAATTAAAGAGACTTATCTTGCCCACTGTCTTTATTTCAGGAGTAGCAAAGCTGAATTCCAGAAAGCTTAAAATAATTCGTTGAAGTCTCACATTCAAGTAACAGAATAAGACAACAATCCAGATCTCAAATCTAGTAATGAAAATATTTTGACATTACAACATGATGCTCTCCTTTACAATTTGAAGATCACTGGCATGTGCTTTAACTTGGCTTTCTTCCCACAGTAATTGATTTTTTTTGCTCTCACATTCTTACAAGTCCCTTTTAATCAATAGTATCTATTCCTGAGACAAATTGGTCCAGCTCAGGGATATGGTCTATTGTAAACAAATTGAATAAAGTTCTCTGACTTGATGAAATCAGCCTCTTACTTAGTACCCATTACAACTATGGTCTCACCAAGAAATCTGTCCTAAAATTTGCCTTTCATAGTCTCCTTGGGTATGTAATTGGGGTTCTTAGGAACTTTGCCAGTCTACTAAAAGTATAAAATGGCCTGATCTATAGATTGAAAAACTCTTTTTTGAGCTTTGTCAGTTAAGCTATCTTACAAGTATAATTTCACAGACTTGTCAAAGAATTTTCTGCCAAGATGTTTTTATCCCATAATGCTAAATTTATTTGGAAAACAAATAATTCTAAATATAAATTTGTAAGCAACATTGTTTCAAGTTACAATTCAAAAATATTTAAAATTGTATAGGCTTGAGTTTTGAGGAAATCCTCATGTTTTTGTTAATTCAAATTTTACTTACAAGAGGGCATTTTTCTTTAAACTTTTTTCTATTCTGAGTTAACTATTTTCATAGTGATTTGACTGAACTGAATTTTTAATCATGTCAAAGAGTTCACTTGTAGTGAAATTATCAATGACCACTGGTTTTATTCATGTATATTTCTCTAACTTAGCAGTAGTCATTTCACTTTCAGTCAGTTGGATCATTGTATTGTTAGCATTTTATTATTTTTCACTTATTTTGAAGTATGCATTAAATTTCAGATGTTGTATGTTTGTTTACTGTTACTACTTACAGCTATTACTTATGCTTTTAAAACATAGCTTTATAATTTCCTTCTTTTGAAAATCAGTTTTTTTGCTTCCATGAATATAGTTTTAATTTTTCACAAAATATTACTTTTTATCATGTACCTGTATTTATAAGTGCCAATTGGCTTGGAAAAGAAGAGCTTTTCTGGTCTTTTTTCTTTCTTTTCTCCCTGTTCTGTTTTGATTTTAGTAGTATATTTGCAATCTAAACTATTAAATTTGATATTACCTTTGAGATAATATTAAAATTAAAGGTATGTTTAGAGTTTACATTCTAGATACTTGATAAGTATATTTAAAATTTCTGTCTTGTTTCACATCCAGATTCCAACCATTAAGCATGTATTTTATATTTGTGTCAGTATTCCAAATAATGAAGTCATTTTTTAAAGGGACTGTTAACAAATCTAGTCACCCGTAACTAGACCATGACTGACTTTTCCACAGGGGAAGAAGAGGTGAAGGTTTCGACCATGCCACTGTCAGCCTCTTCCCATTCATTACAACAAGGACAGCAGCCTACAAGTCTCCACACTACTGTGGCCTGACAACAGAACTGAGAGGAGAGGATTAGACTCTGGGGTGCTTGCATGGGCAACCGGATTTTTGCATGATTCCTTTCTTATTTTGCATTTAATGTATACACCCAAAAGAGCCAATATAAACGTTCCTCATGGCTACAACTAGTGTGTTACCTCATAGTTGCTGAAGTATTTCTTCATTAGGCCTTTAACATAATTTATTAGCATAATAATTTTGGCATTGTTTTTCATGAGTGATACTATTTTTAACTCTTAGTACTAATTAAGATCCCAGATGAGATTAGCTAGAATTGTTATTACTTTGGCTCTATTACTTAAAATATGCAAACATCATGGTAGTTCTTTGTTTTCTGATTTGTGAAAAATGGTAATATCATAATTTACTCTTGAAAAACTTGAAAATTAAGAAGATAATGTCTGTTGGATTCTTTGAAAACTTGAGAAGAACGATACATATACAAAAATGGTGGTGTCATTTAATGCTTAGAGGATGTTGTCTGAGATTGTGTTTAGTTGCCTAGATTTATATCATATATTATGCATTACCTCTGTAGAAACTGTTTTGTTCTCTCTCATTTGCACATTTGCACTTTCTTTTTGAATGGTTGTTAATTATACAGAGATGGTTAAAAGACAATTATTATGGCCTCATGCAATATAATCTCTTTTCTAATGCACTGCCTAGTATACCAGGAAATGCCTCAAAAATAGAATTTCAATTTCTAGTTGACTTATCAGAAACGTGAATATGGGATAAACATTGTTTGTGGCTACAGCTGTTATAGTGGAAGCTTTTCTTAGTTCAGTGGGATATCTGTTTGGAAATTTCATTGTTTAAAAAAAAAGCATAGACATGTAATAATAAGAGTATAAATAAGTACCTGGCCAGAATGAGACTTAAAGTGAAAGAGAGGAGATTGTTTTCTAACAGTAGGCCATGTAAGATGTAATAGATAACTTTAGTTAACCACAGAGAACAATGGTGTGATTTATTAATACATAATGTAAAGTGATGGTTTTGCTTATATGAAATTTCTTGAAATAGTTTTAAAATTAATCATAAAAGAAGCTGCACTTAGTTCTGAGAAGTGGGCAAAAGCTGATTTAGAAAATAGGACTCTATTCTGGCTCACTGAAACATGTGAGAAGAAAGGGAAAGTCAGACCTCCTCTTGAGATTTTGAGATTTTGAAACACAATTCTTTTAACCTTAATTTGTTAGAAGCCATGGAAGGAATATTGTGGATAAAAAAAATTGTGACTTAAAATAGGAACAAACATATTATTAGGAAGTAATACTAATATGGAGTTAGAATTTTTAAAGTTATACCCATATGAAATCTGATTACTTTCTAGTAGATATAATGCAACAAATGAAATGGCTTTATCCTGATGTATATTAGGGTAATCTAAGATCTATGCTTAGATACTTTTGGTTTGGTTAACTTGAGGGAGCAGAAATAGCTAATTAGGTATTTAAATTATTTTTATAAAATTCATCATCAATGTTAATCTCTTCCATTTAGAAGTGATTTTAATGTAAGAAAAAATCACTATATTAGAAAATACCAATAAAATTTTGTATATATAGTGAACAATCAGCATTTGATCATAGCTCAATTTACTGTTTTTCAGGTTTGCTGTAAAAGGCAAAGCCTTTGCTTGTGTTCCATAGGGGTAAGGGTCATGGGCCTTGTAAACATGTTTAGCTTACTAGCTCATAGCTTTTCCCAGCTTACATTTTTTTTCAATGTAAGCCTTGTATTTTCTGTGTTTTCTTCAAAGGCTATACCTAGTAGGTGATTAGCTTTACTTCTTGGTGCTGGAGGTATACAACAGTGTTGGGATATGACTTCTTATTCATTATTTTCTTTCTTTCTGTTTATAAATTGTACAGAAGAACTATCTGAAGTTTGTACAGAGTCCTGATAGATTCCCAAAGCTGTCTCCCTGCTTACTTTCCTTCCCTACTTCCAGGTACAGCATAAATCAGTGGAATGCTTTGGGGATAATTAGACTTCAACACATGGCTAAAAACTACCTTTTACATCATTTCCTAATGTCTAGACCACTTAAGACCTAAGTTTTCTGCTCTTTTAATATTTCATTTAATATTTTAGAAGTCTTGAAAGCCACTCATAATTTTATACTAAAGCATAGAAGAAATTGTACACCACATAGTAAAAGAAAGCATCATTTCATGTAGTAAGCAAATTATAACCAAAATAGGGGCAAAATTCAAAAGAATGATAAATTCTAGTTGGGCTTGGTGGTACATGTCTGTTACCCTAACTACTTGGGAGGTCAAGATAGGAAGCTCTTTGTTCCAGGTCAGCCCAGGCAAAAAGTTATTAAGACCCTCTCTCAAGCACAAGGCAATGTAGCGGCCACACTTATGGTCTTGGCTACTTTAGAGGTGGAGATAGGAGGATCATGGTCCAAGGCCAGCCCAGGCAAAAGCAAAAGACTGTCTGAAAAAATAAAAGCAAAAGGGTTAGAGGCCTAATCCAAGTGGTAGAGCACTCTGAGTAAAATCACTGAAAACTAAAAATTAAAAGGCTGAGGATGAGAAATTCTAAAAAGCTTTTTTGTTAATAAATTCCTATACGATCTATCTTGAACAAAGAAAACTTTATCTACTTTTATATTATTAACCTTTATAAAGTGATTCATTTTTTTCCTTCTAACATAGGAATTTTTAGCCTGAAATCTGGAACTCTTTACAACTTTGTGCAAAATTATGGATTTGTGTCAATGTATATATGTCCATTTTCTTCCTAGAAGAGAAGATCGCTTTTTATAAAGGGTTTTAGTACCATCCCCTCTTGAAGGGAAAGAATAGGAGAATTTCTGCCTTTGAAATCACTTTAGTACTCCAGTAAGCAATAGAATTCTGCACTGAATAATTTTAGTTACATAATATGAAGTGCCTCTTTACTTAATTTTCTTAGATTATGTTAGAAAATATTTTATTAGTAATAATTGAGTCTTTTCATTTTACTGTTGCATTTTGGTGTTTTGGGTGCTGCTTTTGTATATTGCTCCTTATTTTAACAAAGCATTAATTAAATATTTGAACATTTGTTCTGTGGAGTAACCTGAGACAGATCGTAAGAGATCGAGGTTGAATAAAATATAAACCCTAGCCGAGCACCAGTGGCTCACATCTGTTATCCTAGCTACTCAGGAGGCTGAGATCTGAGGATCATGGTTCAAAATCAGTCCAGGCAGGAAAGTCCGTGAGACTCTTATCTCCAGTAAAACACCAGAAAACCAGAAATGGTTCTGTGGCTCAAGTGGTAGAGCACTTGCCTTGAGCTGAAAAGCTGAGGGGCAGTGCCCAGGCCCAGAGTTCAAGCCCCACGACTACAAAACAGACAACACCAACGACAATAGTCTAGTAACACTTTGACATTTGTTTTTCAATTTAAATTTTATTGTAAAGGTGATGTACAGAGGGGTTACAGTTACATGTCAGGTAATGGGTACATTTCTTTTGAACAGTGTTACCCCTCCCTCATTTTCTCCCACTTTTCCCCCCCCCCAACCCCTCACCCCCTGTCATTTTTTTTTTTATCATTTTAATCATAACAGCTGTAGTACTCCCGAATCTTTTCATTGTTCATCTGTCAATAACTACTAAGATATCGGCAACAAACTATTGAATACCTTACTTCAAATTTTAAAACATATATAATCTGAAAAGGGATGTGAAAGAAAATCTTAAAAGGAATAGCATACATTTATTATTCTAATTTATGTACAAATATGCCCATGGTTCTTACTCTTGGTATCTTAAGAATTAATGTAGAGCCTTGTATGTGTATACTTCTTTAAACAACTTTAGTAATTTTTTTTTCCATATGTATCTCTTCTTTTAGAGCGCTCTTATATGAATTCCAAGAACTTTCAAAACTGTCAAAGTTCTCACTGTTAATGACACAGGCTTATAAGGAGGTAACACCCATAGAGCATTGCCACAAAAGCTAAGAGAAAGGAATGGATTCTAGGTGCATCAAAATGATGCACCTACAAAATGATTATTTATATAGACATAAACTGGAAGATGTTTTATCCTATATTGATTTGTAAGATTTAAGATTTTTTTTGGTTTTGGAAGGGGAATGATCATGATGTTTTCCCAAATCTGTTTTATTGGCTTTAAGAGATGAAAATATAGTAACTTTTTAAAAAATCTTATAAAGAAGTGCTAACCTAAAACAATTATGTATTTGTGCACATGCACACACTCTGTTGTATAAAATTGTCAGTTATATTATCTGGTATCAAGCTAGTCCATCTGCCCTCAGTGCTGTGTGTCTGTTTTTCTCTTAATGAAGATCTGTTCTGTGCCTCCTTGATCTAGATAACTGGTGGTTGTCTGTACAGGTATTCATTCATGTAATGTTGAGTGAGCAAATCTGATACCATGTTGATACAAAAGTATGGTGGGATTTTAAGATAGGCTGATACAGAGAGAGAGGCTTCATATAAAGAACATATACAACTTTTGGCTTTGGGAGATGAAAGGGTGAAGTCACTATAGAGGTAAAAACGACTAAGCCATGCACCAAAAAGGGAGAGATTAGCATGGTTTTATAGGGCTTAAGAGGGAAGGAGATAATAAGAAGATACACTGTTCTGGGATATATGGGTTCTTACAAGGAAGCTGGGATAAATGCCTAACGCCTTGAAAATTAGGAAAAGAGTTTAATTTTAATGTGGTAGGAGTGAAGAACTAATGTTTTGGCTTGATGTTACCTGATGGTAGAATTTTTTTTTTCCCATAAATAAGCTAGAAGAAACAGTTTGACTCTACTCAGTAAAAATGGATGGACTACAGCCAAACAAAACCTGATTTCCTGAGTCTTCTAAATTGTTCTTATTATCCTGAGATTTGCATTTTTTTTAGGCAGTGTCAAATAACAAAAGCACTTTCTTTGTACTCCGTTGGTATTACAGGCATTTATCCCCAGCACAGTCTTTTCTCCAGAGATCCTTTTATCCCTACCTAGGAGCAGCAATTGAAGGCATGAAGGCCCAGAGGGTTGGAATGGAGGTTTGCCCCTGGCCGGGGTTGAGGGAGGTAGCAGAGGAGACCTGAAAAGACTGAGATGGGGAAAGAGGGCATAGCCCGTAGACAGGATTAGCAGATACTTTAGACATCCTCAAGGGTGCCCTGGCTTCAATTAGTCCTTTTAATTGTCTGAGTTTAATTTTTAATATACTTTGGCAGAAATTCAGACCTGTGTAACAGTGGCATCCATACCTCAGGCTAGTTTCCACAGTTCTAGCTCTCGCTCTTTGAGTGTAGCATTTTATGAAAACAAATCTGCTAATACATTTAATCACAATTATGACAAGTTAAAAAAGTAGTTTCATTGCTGGCTAGTTAGTTGGCTTCAACTAGAATACTAATTATTGGAATGAAGAAGAAATTTTGTTAGATATCAGAAGACATGAGATATGAGAAAAGACCTTGCTATGTAGGTGTTGCTTCTCTAGTGACATTTTTAAAAATATGGCTCACATCTATAATATCAGCTACCAGGAGGGTGAAAACTGAAGATTGAAGTTTGAAGCCAACTTGGGCAAGAAGTCCGTAGACTCTTATCTCCAGTTAACCAGCAAAAAGCCAGAAGAGAAGGTGTGGTTCGTTGCTGGAGTGCTAGCCTAACAGACAGCATCCAGGCCCTGAGATCAGGCTCCAGTACTGGCCCCAGATGGATGGATCGATGGATCAGTGGATGGATGGATGAATATGGATGGGTGGGTAGATGGATGGATGGATGGATGAATATATACACATACAGACAGACAGAAATGTAACTTTAATAAAAATATCCAGAATATGAGCCAGATTGCTAGAATTAATGAGGAAAGGTCAAGTATATCTGATAGGAGGTTAAAGGCTAAAAGAAAAGCAAGATGTGACCAAGACAGGTGGTATATATCTTATGCTTTGCTTTAAGTCAGAGGTGTAAATGTTTGAAGATGTAAAGCCAATTCAAAGGAAGAGTGACAGCACTGAAGAGAAGATGGCTAATATAATAGGAAAACAGGCTTCCTTGAGTGCTGTGAGGAAATAAGCTCTTGAGATGACATGGTTTAGCTTTAGAGAGATGGGTTATATCTTTGTCTGATTTTTAAAAGCATTGAAAATATTGCAGAAAGAAAGATTAGAGAAAATGAAAACAAATGGAGGAGGCTTATAACAGTATTCACTAGAATGCATTCTTATTTGAAAATGAGTGTGAAAGAGTAGAGTTGGGAGCTTGTGAAAAGAGGGAGAGATTAAAATAAATATATGAGAATAAGCCTAAAAGTACATTTGAAATACATTAAAAGGCTGATGTATATGGACACACTTGTAATCCTAGTTATTCAGGAGGTAGAGAAAAAGAAGATAATGGTTTGAGGAGAGCCCAGGCAAAAAAGTTAGACCTCATTTCAACCAATAACTTGGTGCAATGTTTCACAGTTGTAGTCTCAGGTAGGCATGCAGCATAGCAGTAGGATCATGGACTAGGTTGATTCAGACCAGACCAAAAAAAAAAAAAAAATGTACTAGAAGGCCCTGAGTTCAGCCCCAGTACCACTATAGAACAAATGTGTAAAGGCATTGTTCTGCTTAATAGTTTTTAGAATTCAGGTATGTGCATGTGTGTTCTATCCTTGGTTTAGCACAAATTATCAGCAGTGGAAAAGCAAATATTAACAGGTGGGCTAGGTAAAGAGGACAAGAACTTTC